CGTTGGTATTAAATTCAGCATATTATGCATTTGTAGGCCCAGAGCTCTTAGGAGTCCCAGTCAAAGACCAGGACACATTGTGCGAGGCGCTGTACAATTCCAGAATAAAAAGATCGTGCTTGCTTCTTTACCATTGCACCCCGTGCCCCCAACTCCTGGGGGAAGAACAATCCGCGTATTCCATGTGCAGACTCCATTAGCGAGCGCTGCGTAAGAGATCACTCATTGCCACGGGTGTCTGGTCTGGGGTAGACTGGGCACGTCAGTCTCCCAGGCCATCTAGCCTGCATTAAATCTACTTACTTAAAAGCTATCCTGCCCACCAACAGATATCACACCCTTCCATCACGAATCACCAAGGGTGTTGCTAAGGATATTGGCTGTAGCATGGCAAGGGGACAGCTGCTCCATAAGGGCCAGCGCCAGACTGGATACTTCGGGTTCTCTTGTGTTGCAACAGCAGGAGCCGGAGTGCGTTTGGATCCTTATTGTCGAATAGGCAGTTTCTTTAAAATAAGGAAATGAGACAAAGGCCATTTATTGCTGATGATCAAGCTTTGCTTAGACAAGCACAATGTTTGGATGACCTTAGCGTCTGGAAACACACCCAAACGCACCCTTCCACCCAAATAGGAATCCTTGGGAGCATGAGCAGAACACCCTCTTTCCAGAGTGGACACTTGGTCCCCTGGGCTTAAGTCCACCCTCCCAGGATGCAAACAGGCAGGCTCTGGCCTTGTAACAACTGTTCCATCCCGCCCAGGAGCACAACTCAAACAGTGGGGTGGTCCAGAGGTGAAAGTAAGCCAGTACAGGCCGGTACGGTGTATCGGCAAGAGCTGGTACAGCATGCTGGACTGGACTGGCTTCTCCGGCGGTAATTTAAAGGGCCCAGGGCTCCAGCCACTACGGGGAGCCCCGGGCCCTTTAAATCACCGCCAGAGCTCCGGCAGCAGGGCTCGGGCAGGGATTTAAAGGGCCCGGAGCCCCGGCCCCTGCAGGGAGCTCCCGGCCCTTTAAATCCCAAAAGGCCCCGCCTCCACTCAGGACTCCTTTAAGTTACTTTCACCCCTGGGCTGGTCCCACCTATGTGCAAACTTCTGCAGTCTGGTTTGTCTATTGGGCTCATGGCTCGGCCTCCCCCTGGCTCCAGGTGTCCCTCAGGCACAGGGGAGGCAGGCAGGCTCTGTTTCAGCTCCAGTCTTTGTGGTGCTCTCTGTGGCATCTGCACTGCCCAAGTCCCTGAACTACCAAGAGTACTCCTGGGGGAATTCTGCACCACTGCACATGTGCAGAATTTATGTCCCCTGAAGATTTCATTGCTTCCCCACAGAAAAATGACTTTCTGACGGGGAAGCAAAGGGAAGTCACAAGAGCGGTCATGCGACCCTCCCAAGCAGTATGTTTCAGGTGCCCAGGGCAGCTGGCAGAGAGGTAAATCACTGTGGGGCAGGAGGCAGGACTGGGGAAGACCTGGGTGGTGGCTCCTACCCTGTGCCGAGCTCAGCTGCTAGTCCCGGCTGGGCAGGACGGGACTTCCTCTTCCCCTGCACAGCATCCAGGGCTGGGTCAGACCCACCCCCAGATTTCTCCTTCAGCTACAGGAATTTCTGCAAAGTTCTCCTCTCCTCCCCCCACTTCCTGCACCCATCACTCCTCAGCTGCAGGGATAGGGATCCCTGTACAGGGAGCTGCTCCCTCATCCCCCCAACCCCTGTGCATCAAGCCCCCCCCACACTCAGACCGTCCCCCACTGAGCCCCACTCCCCCTACACCTGGGCCACCCCAACAAGCCACCTACACCTGGATCCCCACCCCCCTGAGCTCCAACCAGCTGCACCTGGATCCCTGGCCCACTCCCACAGCATCTGGACCCCCCACTGAGCCTCCACACCAACCTCCCTGCTGAGCCCCAACCACCTTCACCTGGACCCCCCTGCAAAGTCCCATTACCATTGCACCCAGAACCCCTCAATAAGCCCCTGTGCATCTAAATCCCCCCCGCACCCAGATCCCCCACTGAGCTGCCCGCACCCAGATTGCCCCATATAGAATCCTCTCAACCCACACCTGGATCCCCCCACATTAAGCCCCTTCACACTTGGATCCTGCCTTGCTGAGCCTGCCTGCCCACACCTGGTGCATCTGGCATGGATGGGCAGAGAAGGGCAACACAAATGATAAGAGGTATGGAACAGTTTGCATCTGAGGAAAGATTAAAAAGACGGTGATTGTTCAGCTTAGAAAAGAGACGACTGAGGGGGATATAATAGGTGCCTACAAAATCACGACTGGTGTGGCGAAAGTGAATAGGGAAAAGTTATTTACCCCTTCATATAAACACACAAACTAGGGGTCACAGAATGAAATTAACAGGCAGCAGGTTTAAAACAAACAAAAAGAAGTACTTTTTCATCCAATGCACAGTCAACCTGGGGAACTCGTTGCCAGGGGATATTGCAAAGGCCAAAAGTATAACTGGGTTCAGAAGAGAATTAGCTACGTTCCTGGAGAATAGCTATTAGCCAGGATGGTCAGGGACGCAACCCCACGCTTTGGGTGTGCCTAAACATCTGACTGTCAGAAGCTGGGACTGGACAACAGGGGATGGATCACTGGATAATTGCCCTGTTCTGTTCATTCCCTCTGAAGCATCTGGCACTGGCCACTGTCAGAAGACTGGATACTGGGCTGGACCCAGTATGGCTATTCTTATGTTCTTAAATACACACACTATATTTCCAGGAACACAGTACAATTATTTCTGGAAAGCTGATCTCAGGGTCTCCCTCCTTGGTTACAACAAAATTTAACTAAGAACACAAATTAATAGATTCAGCAATTCCTCCCCTGCTCTCTCCAGCAAAGACGATCTTAACACAAGATGGGAGGGGTAGAGAATGGGGGAGCACCTGCTCTTTTAATATTTTAATTTGGCTGTGTGTGTGATTTCCTAGGTTAAAAAAACCAGCTGTGTGTAATTATTTATTCATCTGGGGGTAGCCCCAAGAGCACCAGCCACACTATGTTCAGCACCATGCAAATGTGTAATAAAAAGATGTCCCTGCCCAGAAGACCTTACAGTCTAAGTATGACAAGAGATGATGGATGCAACAAACAGATGGAGAATGCAAAGGGGCAGTGAGACTATATACTACGAGTGGTATCCTCGCACATGATTTGCACCCTTCGGGGGTTGGTTGTTTCAGAATCTTGTCTGAAAATAATGACACCGCTGAGGCTGGGGCCAAAAATCAGATTATATATTTTTGCCATTTGTAATTTATGTTTCCCCCCTAAAATAAATGCTTCAAATATGGTAAAAATTCCCCCTTGCTCACCTTTTCCCTCCCCCAACCAACACGCCCAGAACCCTACAATAATGAGCCAGTGTGTAGCTCGAGAGCCCACAACTCTACAAGAACAAGCCGACATCTGCCGTCTCAGTGCTCATGAATGACCCTCCAATCGCAGATGAGCGAGCACTGTCTCAGCCCTCACGTTACTCTAACGAGCCAATGCTTAGTAATAACTAAATGCACGAGTGACCTTACAAAAATGAAGCGGCATGTGCAGCCTTAGGGCCCACAAATGATAACAATCTGCTATGCACAGCAGCAAA